GATCATTAATAGTAAATTCAATATCCATTTCATCTTTACTACTTTGAATTTTTGTTTCATTAATATTTGAGTTTGAATGAATAATAATATCATAAATTTGTTCTAATTGTTCAGGGTTTGCATGAAAGAGTTGATTATAAAGAGGAACAGAAGTTTGTTCTTCATAAATACAATTACATGGTGAGTCTGATGAATCCAGTAATTTTAATTCATCATTAATACACTGAGAATTAGAATCACCCCAAAGAATATTTTCAAATCCAACTTTAACCATAGAATTAACCTGATCTTTAATTTCTTTTGAAATAGTAGGATTAGCGTTAAGTCTCCATTTAAGTTTATTTAATTTAACCATCATTAATTCTAACGTTGTTACAGAAAATAATTCTTCATAATGTCCACTATAAAGAACATCTCCATTTGGTATAGCAATTAACATTTGTTTAATTTGAGTAACTTTATCATGTTTCAATTCATTCATCTTCTCTTTTATTTTTTAGTTATTATAATTTTAATTATAATTTTATTATAATTTAATTAATTAAAAATAAAATAATTAAATTATGTTAATTATAACAAATTATTAACTCACTTAAAAATATTAATTATATATTTTCTGAATTCTTAATATGCAAGAATCTTTACAAGATGAAATTATTCCATTTATTGTTCCACCATTTGCTAACAGTATTTTTATTGAAGGTGTAGATGAAAATGATGAGAATGAAATGACTTTATTATTTACAAAATTTGGATTATTATATAAAGCTAATAGATTAAAAGATAATCCAAGTACAATGCATTTTATATATTATAGCCATAATGCATGGGTTAAATGTCATAATGAATTAGGAAATTCTTTTAATATTCATTCTAACAGATACGAATTAAAAAAGTTTATTCCAAAGAAATTAACAAACAATAAAAGTATATTACGTTTACCACAAATGTATAATCTTTGTAATTATTATATTGGATTTAATGCTTGGTCAACAGAAATTATATCAATTACTTGTGACTTTAAAGATGAAATACAAACCAATGGAATAACAAAATATGTTTTTCAATATACTACAATTACTCAAATTAATTTCATAAATTTTCCAAATGTAATTTGTAGGGGATATGGGAGATCTAAGTATACAGGAAAAGATTATAATCGTGCTGATAGAACATGTAAAAAATTTTCAGTTGCGTGTTCACGTAAAGATATGTTTAAAAAACTTGTTATTTGTATTCTTGTAACTATAAAAGACGGAGTTTGTAAACAAAAAGCTGTTCCAACAACAATAGAAATTGGAAAACAAGATGAAGATGGATTAAATCAATTATTTATTCAAAATTATGAAGAAGATGAAGAAGAACCAAATGAATTAAATGACCAAGACTTTGAAGAAATATTAAAATTAATTTAATTTATTAAAATTATAATAATTAATAAAAAAAAATAAAATAAAAAAGAAAAAAAAGTAATTAATAAAGTAAAGTGCTAATGGTATTGAGAAAATCAACAATATATCGATATAAAATTGAAAGACTTGCATACTTATTCATGGAAAATGACGCATTTCCTCCATCAAAAAAGAAATCATTTAAAAAGTTATTTGTTAGATTTGTAGAACAAATACTTCATGATGTTGTTAATAAAAAAGATGAAGTTAAAGAGAAATTACTTATTGGCACAGTTATTCAAACATTCTCAAAATATACAGCCAAATTAAAATGGAAACGTTTTTCAATTAAAAAATTTGGAAGTCTTTCTACAGGACTTGAGTTACGAAATTGTTTTTTAGCGTGTTATAGAAGATTATTAAATTTAAGAGTTTCATCAAGAGTTATTGATCAAGTTATAAGAACTCTTCATTCATTCAGAAGTAATTGTACTCAAGAAGTTTTTACTACAAATAAAGATGAATTTCATCCATTTTTCTTAACTGAAAAATATACGATTTCATATATTAGTTATCTTTATAAAAATCGTCAATACTTTAAGATTATTCAAAAAGCAAATGCCTTTCCTGAATTAGATATTTTAAATAATAGTTGTTATTTTAATGGTTATATGGCACAAGCTGCTTATCAATATTTTCTTAAGGAACCACAAAAAAATAGTAATTATGTTGATCTTTCTATTAATTATTTTAATAAAGCTATTTCTTGTTCAGGAGGTTCTCCTTATTATATTTTTCAATTTATTTCTTTTCTTAGAGGTGAAGGTGAAGAAGATACAATTATTGAAGAATATCAAAAAGCTCTTTCTAAAAAAAATTTTAGGTTAATGTTATTATCGTTTGTTTTTATTCAATTGTTTTTTTCTATTATTTATCATTTAGTTTAATTGAACACGAACCAAACAAAGATGACATTATTCAAGACTTATCTTCTTTTATGGAAAATTATCTTTCTCAATACCCTTATGATCATATTGGTAAAAAAGTAATAAAATCTGATTATACGACATCATCACCAACTCTTACTCTTCAAGTTTTTGTTGCTAGGTTTGAATTTCCTTATTCAGAAGATGACTATTATGATTTATGGTGTGACTTTAAAAATTATCTTGAAAACAATCAAATCCCAGACATATTAACAACTCACCCTTTCTCTAATACTATGTGGAAAAGAAGACATTTCCCTTTATTTTCTCATATTGTTCAAACAATGAATCCACGGTTAGTTGAAATAAAAAAGCTGTCTTCAAATTATATATAACTCTGATGGAATACAATTAATTTATTCTTTTATCTTTGTTTAATACATTATTAAAA